TTAGCCCTGGCAACACATCAGAGAATCTATGTGCAGGGGCGCCTGGGTGGCTCAGTCAGTTAAGCATCTGACTCAGCTCATGTTCTGATCCTAGGGTCCTGGGATGGAGCCCCACAATGGGCTCCCTTCTCAGCAGGGAGTCTGCTTGTCCCTCTGCCCCTCCCCCTGCTTGTGCTGTCTCTCTCAAATCAATAAATAAAACCTTAAAAAAAAAGAATCCATGTGCAGTTATGGACTTGTCCTCAGAAGGCAACTGAGGGAGAGAGCTATGAATAGGGACATTTGAATACCACCCCCCCTCCTTGTATTAGCCAAGGTTCTCCAGAAAAATAGAGCTAACAGGATTGAATGGTTGGTTGGTTGGTTGGCTGTTTGGTTGGTGGATTGGTTTTGAGGAATTGCCTCATGTGATTACAGAGGCTTTTAAGTCCCAAGATTTACATTTGGCTCTTTGGAGTCCCAGGATTGCCAATGGTCCAGTTTTAGTCTGAAAGCTGGTGGATAGACCCAAGAAAATCCAATGTTTCAGTTTGAGTCCAGAGGCCGAAAAAACCCAGTGTTCTGGCTCTCAGGCAGTCAGTCAGGAAGAGTTCCTCTTTACTTGAGGGAGGGCCAGACTTTTTGTTCTATTCAGGCCTTCAACTGATTGTGTGATGCCCACCCATATTAGGAAGAGCAATCTGCTTTACTCAGTCTACTAATTCAAATGCTAATGTCACCCGGAAACACCTTCGCAGACACTTCCAGAATAATGTATGACCAAACGTCTGGGCACCCTGAGGCCCAGTCAAGTTGATACATAAAGTTAACCATCATACCCCATCACACTTGTATCTCTCCACTATATGTGCCAACTCTCTAGGCTCATTTTTTCTCACTTCCTTTTCCTCTTCCCTTCCTCTTTTCATACCAGGCTATTGGTTCTATGTCCTAGAGTAGACTCTTTCCTCTCCATCTTCCTCCCCTTCCTCTGTTCATCCTCTTTTTTTTTTTTAAGATTTATTTATTTATTTTAGAGAGAGGATGGGGGCAGGCAGAGGGAAGAGAGATCCTTAAGCAGACTCTGTGCTGAATGCAGAGCCTGACACATGACACGATCCCAGGACCCTGAGATCACAACCCGAGCCGAAATTAAGAGTCAGATGCTCAACCTAATGTGCGACCCAGCTGCTTCAAACTTCTGTTCATCCTTTAAGAGTTAGCTCACATGTCACTTCCTTTGTAAAGTATTCCTTGATTCTCCCAATTCAGCACAAGTGCCCTCTCTTTTCTGTATGCCCAGTATTTTGTGTGACTCTCAACCATGTACTTATCGCAGATGACTTGTGTTCTATTCATGTTTGTGTCTGACATGTCTGTGTCCTGTAAGTGCTCTCCACAGGTTTGAGGGTGTGATTGAAGTGGTAGGGAAGGATTAGTGGTGTCATATTTGCATAGAAATGGTAGCAATAATTAAAATTTGGCATGTGAGTAACTGGTTTCACTCTAATAAGAAAGACGCTTTAGTTGAAAGTAAGTTTTAAAATGGAAATGTGGGGGTGCCTGGGTGGCTCAGTTGTTAAGCATCTGCCTTTGGCTCAGGTCACGATCCCAGGGTTCTGGGATCAAGCCCCGTGTCGGGCTCCCTGCTCCACGGGAAGCCTGCTTCTCCCTCTCCCACTCCCCCTGCTTGTGTTCCCTCTCTCGCTGTGTCTCTCTCTGTCAAATAAATGAATAAAATCTTTAAAAATAAATAAATAAATAAATAAATAAATAAAATGGAAATGTGGATGATAATAATACAAATAGCTAATCATAAAAGCCCTATTTGTCCCAGGCAGTACATTAAATGATATATGTATATCACCTTAATCATCACATCAACACTAGGAAGCAAATCGTAATAACCCTATTTTACAAATGAGGAAACTGAGCTAGAGAGGGGTAAAGTAACTTGGCAAGGTCACAAGGCTAGTTGCTGTGGAGCTGGAGTTTGAACCCAAGCATGAATGTGTAATACCGGGAAAGGCAGAGGTGTGTCAAGTTCCCAGGAGGAAAGCTGCACACCTATGTAATCTATTACATGCGTTCTTGGTTCTCCCCACCTCCACCCTGACAGCATTCCTGTACTCTTGCCCACCAACAACAATGATTTTTTGCTCCTTTTCTCCTGTTTTCCCTCCTTAAAAAATGCTATTAGTTATTATAATGAAAACCTTTCTGGAAAAGCAACACCAGGCACCACATACATTCCAAGCCTGGTTTTTGTTACCAGATTTGCTTTCCACATATGATTCTCACCATGAGCGTGAAGTTATGGTGCCCTTCTTGTGACATGATATAGTTGGCTCTGCTTTGTGGTTGGTGCTGCCAACCTCTGGATTAAATAATAAAGAGCCAATTGTATATTTCAGGGCTATTATACCATTTAATCAGGATTTTTAAAAAAAAACTGTATAGAATAATGGAGTCTGTAAATGTATTTATAATTAATGCTATTTTCATTTCACTGAAGTAAAAACACATTATGCAGTTTATCAAGTGAGGAATATCTTAATTTTTCTTTTCTGGAAATGAACAATTTTACATCTAGAGTCTCCCTCCTCAATACCCCTTAAAAAATTATTATGACTTTCCATTGGAAAAAGTGGGACTGGTCAGTTCTAATATATTTTTATAGTAGAAACTAAAAATTAACTCAATAATAGGATACTTCCCACATTATCATATATAAGCAAATGTAGTGTCTTTATTTAAGTTTCATACATTGCAGGCTAGGAAAAGGAACTGAATTGAGGTAAATATTCTTTTAAAGATTTTATTTGTTTTTATTTATTTGAAAGAGAGAGAGTGAGCAAGAGAGAGATCATGAGCAGGAGGAGGGGGAGAAGCAGACTCCCCTGCCAAGCAGGGAGCCCAATGCAGGACTCGATCCCAGGACCCCGGGGTCATGACCTGAGCTGAAGACAGAGGCTTAACCAACTGAGCCACCCAGGCACCCTGAGGTAAGTATTCTTATAATTTAATTACCTTCTCAAGATTTTCTTGCAGGAATCTTCAAAATGTACTATTGTAGGGACAAACATTTATCTTGGAGGAAATGAATCCTCAGCATCTAAAGAGCCACTCTATAAATCATGGCGTTTTCAGAGCAAAATCGCAGTTCTTTCACAATTTTTTGATAAGCAAATGAGAGTAAAAAAATAACTTTATATCTCACAAAGTTATTTTTTGATGGAAGAAAGAGCACACAAATCAAGGTGTTTCAATGTAAGAATGTAGAATTTTTCAAGAGGATTCTTTGGTACCAGACCTGCAGTCTTTGGGGCCAAGGAGCGGAACTTGCTGTGAGAGTTTTGCTTTGAGGGAAAAGAACGGGCTTTAGCAGCAAGCCACTTATTATGAAAGAGCTTGGGGGAGGCTTCCAGAGAAAATACGAGAAATCTGCTATGTATTTAGAAATGCTCTTTCCCAGATATGGAAGGGACATTACTTGCAAATTTAAAATATTTTAGAAGAGAAGTCATTGGCCTACATCTACTTAACTAGGACATTTCAGGAGTCCTTACCCCAGCTGGCATAGAGAATTACTCCTATTTCAGAAAGTCTGATATTCTAACTAGAAAAAAAAGATATTCCTTCGCCTTTTAATTCTTTCTGGTGACTTGACTCATCAATTCAGACTATTTTGCGAGAGAAGAATTAGAGCTATAGAATTGGAATAAAACTTTCTGGGGCCAAATTCACACTGACCTTGGGCAAGTCATTTACCACTTTGGGTCTAGGGTTTTCTCCCCTCTACTGCATTTAAGTAAGCTGGACCAGATCCCAGATTTGCTGGTCTGATAGAAGAGGACTATGTGTCCTTGGCTGGAGAAGTAGGAGGTGATGTGATAATTTTATGTGTTTTATTTTTAGTTATTAAAGACTTGCTTTAAGTTAGGATGGTGATATGTATTTGTCAAGAATTTGATCCATGAATGAGCAACAATGATAGACAAATTATTGCTTTCTTCTCTTGAAGGATCATAGGGACAAACCTGCCTATAATTATATGTTGCTTAGGTATGGTACTTTTCATTAGACGATGTCAAAGTGTTTTGCAAATGTTAATTAAGATTTGCATCTTCCTTGTGAAGTGAATGTGATTGTTTTCCTGGTACACAGAGCAGCAGACTGAGACATAGAACACTTTAGAGGCTGCCCACGATTACCCTGATGAACAGTACATCAAGAACCAGAGGGACTGTTTATAAGTTACTCTGTCTAACCTACAACACTATGTAGCTACTTGGTAGAGGTTAAGTAATTAAGAAACTTCTGAAAGAAGGCCAGTTGGCTGTGGTGCCCCTGACTAAAGTTCTCAGATGCATCAGAATGCTTGTTTTCCATGCAGAAATGGAGGCAACCCTATCTAAGTGAGGGAGGGAAAGTTACCAAGGGACTGACTGGCTCTGTCTTCTCTTCAGAAGTTGCAGCTTTGGGGTGCCTGGGTGGCTCAGTCGTTAAGTGTCTGCCTTCGGCTTAGGTCATGATCCTGGGGTCCTGGGATCAAGCCCTGCATCCGGCTCCCACTCCCCCTGCTTGTGTTCCCTCTCTAGCTGTCTCTCTCTCTCTCTGTCAAATAAATAAAATCTTTGAAAAAGGAAAAAAAAAGAAGTTGCAGGCTTCATTATTCCCACCTGGTATGTTAGGCAGCATCTATGGCATTGGATGGGGTTTATAAAAGCAGGACTTTTGAGGAATGGGGATACTCTGCAAAGTGTTACTGTGGGTACTACTGGGGACTTCAGGGTCTAAGTAGAGCAAACTAAGGGTTGGATAAACGGTCTCTCACTTTTCATAAAAGCACAAAAATTCTGAATTACCACAGAGCCCAACAGAATAATCCCTGAATGCCTTATAAGATTGTGGAACCCTATTTTTATAGGTTCTTAATATGGGAAGATTTTGTTCTTATGAGTGTTCACTTGGTGGCCGTGTGGAGAAGTGGCTGGTAGACAAAAAAAATAGTAGTCACTGTGGAATTTATTTTTTCCTTCTTCTTCTCTCATTGCCTCACCCCTGGACCACTGCCTCTTCACTTGTTTTATCATATTTATTTGTTTCTTCTTCAGTCTGTTCTGTGCACACCTGCCAGATTAGCTTAAGCACTGCTTTCATGGTACATGTCTTCTTAGAAATCTCTCATGGCTCTTCCTTGCACAACGATATATCAACAAAACAGCAATAAATATAAGCCAAGTCCTTAATTATGGGTAGACATTGTGTTAAGGGCTTTATATACCTTATTTTTACTTCATTCCAAATATTTCTGTATGATTTGAACACCCCTCCAAAATGGGATCCTACCCTCCCTTTCCAATTGCATTTTTTCCTGTTCTAACATGAACTCTCAGCTCTGGTGAGACTGTGTCTCATTTCTGTGTCCACCCCCAGCCCCTGCCCTAAATGCCATTCCCATTATCCTTGGCTCATTATTTCCCCCTTGTTGAATGGGCCTACTTCCTTTGCCCATTCAATTCATCTTTCAAGGAACAGCTTGAGTCCCACTTCAGGGCTTCTATCAACAATTACATGTTTCTTCTATGTACTATTCACTGCTGTTGAATTACATAATTATCACTCAATTACTTGCCAATCTATTTTCTGATAGACTATCAGGATATATTGAGTACCAATGCAGAGGATGTTCCTTGACCCCTCCATTTTCTCTTGGATCATCATCTCCTTCTAGACTTGACTTCTATATTAGGCAGAGGACAGGCTATGTTATCACCCAAATCTTAATGGTTTCTAACAACAAATGCTTATTTGTTATATATAATATGCATCTGTTTTGTGTTGGCTGGAGGCTCTGCTCCATGCCACCTTATTCAAGGACTCAGGCTGATTGAGGAACAACATCTGGAACATTGCCTAATGCAGTGACAGGGCAAAAAAGATGTGGCTAATAATGCACTAGCTCTTAAATTCAGACCCGTGTCTCTTCTGCTCACTTTTCATGGTCAAAACAAGTTAAATGGCCATTCCTACCTTTAAGAAGTACAGGGAAGTACAATTCTATCATGTACCTGTCAGAAAGGAAACCATGAGAAACTCTCATGACTAATACAACATTCTTTTCTGTATAGACTAGACCAGTGGTTTTCAAGCTTTTTGACTATATCCCATTATGAAAACTACCTTTTATATCACAACTAAATATACAATACATATATGCATGTACTTAGCTGAGACAAAGGTTACTAAAAGTAATTTACTTTTACTTTTTGTTCCATTCCATTTAACTTCGTTTTTAAAAATGGACATCACCCACTAAATTGGTTTGATGATCTACTGATGAATTGTGACCCAGGATTTGAAAAGTAATTGTCTAGACGCCATGGGCCCAGCAGCCTTAACCCCTTCGCACTGCTAATCCTAACTTTTTTCTCACGGAAATCCCATTCCATACACTCATCTTCTCTATATCTATACCCTTGCTGTTAAGTACTGCTGGCAAAGAATCATATACTTACGAAGACTTACTGGAGGTTGGAGATAGTACATTTGTAGAAGTCTGATCACCATAATTATGTGATTTCATCCAGCAGCTTTTTGTGTGTCCTAGCCCCTCACTGTCTTCTCTCTGCAAATGCGTCAACATGCACACATTAGCGTCATTTAGGGACATGTTCGCCTGTTTCTTCCAGGAGCAGGTCTACATCATTGGGCTTGCATTCTAATCATCCTACCTGTTTCACCTCTTTCTGGCTGTTGGATTGCCTTAGGTAAGGTATTATTTTTCTCTTGGGCTCATTATTTATCCCTTGGCCTCATACACCTGGTTGCCATTCTTAAATGCAGGAAATGCCACCCACAGTTGTGCTCTCTCCTTTCTCACTCTACCTGCTGTGCCCCGGGTAAACCCATCCAGTCTTTTAACTTCTATATTTAGCCACCCGTATGTGAATGAGTCAGAAATTCAGGTCTCTAGCCCAGATCTCTTCTGAAGTCTAGATCTACTTTCACAGCTACCAACAGGACATTTTTACCTGAACATTCCACAGGCATCCTGAACTCAGCAGTCCAAAATGGAAAGTAATCTTTCTCAGAAGCACTAGCTCAGGAGATGGCAAACTAAGACCAAAGGGCCAAATGTAGCCCACTGCCTGTTTTTATATGGCCCAAGGACAAAGAATGGTTTTTACATTTTTAAATGGTTGGAAAAACCAAAATAATACTATTTCAGAAAACATGGAGATTATATGAAATTCAAAGTTCAATGTTTATAAGGAAAGTTTTATTGTAACACAGTGTTACCCATTTGTTTATGTTATTGTTTATATTTGACTATAGCTTTCACTATAAAGGCAGAGATGAGTAGTTGCCACAGAGATCATATAGTTCACAATGCCTAAAATATTTAATATTTGGACCTTTGCGGGAAAAGGTTTGCTGACCCCTGGTGCAGCTAAATTCAAATCTCAGCTCTACCACTTATTCTCCATGTCACCTGGGCAAATTATTCTACTTCTTTCAATCTTGGTTTTCTTGTCTGAAAATGAGAATAGTCATACTTACTGCTCAAGGTTTTTTGTAGATTGAATGAGGTAAAGGATGTAAGACACTTGGCACAGTGCTTTGATATATATTACCTTATAAATGGTAACTATTGTTATTTCTCCCCAAACTCACTCTTCCTCTTGTTTTTTCTCTTTACGATAGCTACATGGTCCACCAGTTACCCAGGTCAGAAATATGAGAGTCATTGTAGGCCTTCTATCCTTTTTGTTGTTGATTTTGCCTCCACAAAATCTAAGATGTCCATACTTTTTTCTTCACAGCTACTGCTACTGCCTTTGTTCCCACTCTAATCTTGTCTCGCCTGGATTGTCCTTAGCTTGTCTCTCTGACTCAGATCATGTCTCAAACTTTCTGTTTTCTATACTATAATATGAGTGAATATTTTAAAATGAAAATCTTATTGTATTACTCTCCACCTTAAAACCATGCAAGTCTCCCTATTGTCTGCAATGATAAAGCCTAAGCTCCTTTCACCATCCTCCATGATTAGTTCTTTGCTCAGTCTTAGTTTTCACCATGCCTTCCTTGGACATCATGCACCAGCCTCATCATGGCTTGAAATTTTCAAGGTCACCCAGAAAGCCCTTCTCCCCCCATCATTCCAGGCAGCTTCTACTTCACTTTCAACATTCAACCCTACCATCACTGCCACTATGAAGTAAGTTTTCTTTAGTTCTAAACTCTCCCAATTTTTTTTTAAGGATTTATTTATTTACTTTAGAGAGAGAGAGGGAGAGAGAGAAAGAAAGAGCAAGTAGGGGGAGGGACAGACTCTTCAAGCAGACTCCCTGCTGAGCACAGAGCCTGACGTGGGGCTCATCCCATGACCCATGAAATCAAAACCAAGAGGAGGAGGCTTAACTGCCTGAGAAACCCGGGCGCCCTAACCGCTCCCTATTCCTGTGCAGCATTGAGCTCTCCCTCTTTTGAGTTCCCATGGACCCTATGTTCTTTAGTCACAGCATGGAATTGTGATTCTAGGTTATAAACTCCTGGATAGCAAGATATGTATTCAAGTCCCAGAAGCTAGTACAGTGTTTGACACATTGTGGAAACTTACAAACATTTATCAAAAGAAAGAATCAACAAAGTCTCACCAAAAAATACACACATATGTAATTACCCAAATGGCCATTTATCAATCTGTCTTTTCCCTCTGTGATTTTTCAGAAGATCAAAGTGATTCTTTTTTAAGATTTTATTTATTCATATAAGAGAGAAAGACAGAGAGCACAAGCACACGAGTAGGGGGAGAGGGAGAGGGAGAGGGACAAGCAGACTCCCTGCTGAGCACAGAGCCTGACAAAGGCTGACTTGGGGCCTGATGTGGGGCCCCATTCTAGGACCCTGAGATCACGACCTGAGCTGAAGTCAGATGCTTAACGACTGAGCCATCCAGGCACCCTGATCAAAATGATTCTTTTTTTAAAATTTAAATTTAATTAGTCAACTTGTACTACATCATTAGTTTCAGATGTAGTGTTTAATAATTTATCAGTTTTGTATAACACCCAGTGCTCATCACATCACGTGCCCTCCTTAATGCCTATCACCCAATTACCCCATCCCCCTACCCACCTCCCCTCCAGCAACCCACGGTTTGTTTCCTATAGTTAAGAGTCTCTAATGGTTTTTCTCCCCCTCTGATGACTTCCCATTCTGTTTTCCCTCCCTTCTATGGTCCTCTGCCTTTTTTCTTATATTCTACATATGAGTGAAACCATATGATAATTGTCTTTCTCAGACTGACTTATTTTGCTCAGCATAATATCCTCCAGTTCCATCCATGTCAATGTAAATGGTACGTATTCATCCTTTCTGATGGCTGAGTAATATTCCACTGAGTAATATTCCACACACACACACACACACATATATATATATGTATACACACAGTGGAATTACAACATACACACACACACACACACACACACACACACACACACACCCCACATCTTCTTTATCCATTCATCTGTCGATGGACATCTCAGCTCTTTCCACAGTTTGGCTGTTGTGGATATTGCTGCTATGAACATTGGGGTACAGGTGCCCTTCAGATCACTACACTTGTATCTTTGAGGTAAATACCTAGTAGTGCAATTGTTGGGTTGTAGGGTAGCTCTATTTTTAACTTCTTGAGGCACCTTCAAGCTGTTTTCCAGAGTGGCTGTACCAGCTTGCATTCTTACCAACAGTGTAAGAGGTTTCCCCTTTCTCCGCATCCTTGGCGACATTTGTTGTTTCCTGTCTTGTTAATTCTAGCCATTCTGACTGGTGTGAGGCGGTATCTCATTGTGGTTTTGATTTGTATTTCCCTGATGCCAAGTGATGTGGAGCATTTTTTCATGTGTCTGTTGGCCATTTGTCTGTTTTCTTTGGAGAAATGTCTATTCATGTCTTCTGCCCATTTCTTGACTGGATTATTTGTTTTTTGGGTGTTGAGTTTGATAAGTTCTTTTTTTTAAGATTTTATTTATTTATTTGGCACAGAGAGAGAGAGAAAGCACAAACAGGGGGAGAGGCAGAGGGAGGGAGAGGGAGAAGCAGGTTCCCCACTGAGCAGGGAGCCTGATGTGGGGCTTGATCCCAGGACCCTGAGATCATGACCTGAGCTGAAGGCAGATGCTCAACTGACTGAGCCACTCAGGCACCCTGAGTTTGATAAGTTCTTTATAGATCTTAGATACTAGCCCTTTATCTGATATGTCATTTGCTAATATCTTCTCCCATTCCATAGATTGCCTTTTAGTTTTGTTGACTGTTTCCTTTGCTGTGCAGAAGCTTTTTATCTTGATGAAGTCATTTTTGCTTTTCTTTCCCTTGCCTTTGGAGACGTGTCTAACAAGAAGTTGCTGCGGCTGAGGTCCAAGAGGTTGCTGCCCACGATCTCTAGGATTTTGATGGATTCCTGTCTCAAACTGAGGTCTTTCATCCATTTTGAGTTTCTCTTTGTGTATGTTGTAAGAAAATGGTCCAGTTTCATTCTTCTACTTGTGGCTGTCCAATTTTCCCAGCACCATTTATTGAAGAGACTGTCCTTTTTCCATTGGATCAAGGTGATTCTTAAAGTGTGGTATCCCTACACCAGCATCACCTAGAAATTTATTAGAAAGACAGATGCCTAGGCCTCATCCTACACTCCCTGAATCAGAAATTCTGGAACTGGGACCCAGTAAACCATTTCAATAAGCCGTCGAGGTAATTTGGACGTATGCTAAAGTTTGCTAACCACCACCCTAGCCTAGTTTTTCTCAGACTGTGACTGTGGACTACCTATACTGAATCATTTAAGTTGATTTTTGAAGCTAAAGACGGCGGACCCCATCCCAGAGTCTCTGGGTGTGTGAAATAGCTACGGTTTCAACGCTGGCTGCACATTAGAAGTACCTGGGCAAGACTTAAACAAAAAAAACAAACCCAAAAAACAGTACTCTGACTTTGTTACCAGAGATTCTGATTCTTTGGGTTTGGTGGAAGACCCAGCACAAGGTTTTCAAAGCTTCCCAGGTGATGAAAATACACAGCCAGGGTAGAGCATGGACTATGATGGCTCACCTTCTAGTCCTAGCCGTGTGACTTTGGGTAAATTAATTCTGTTTCACTTTTTGTCTGTTATGAGGATTAAATGAGATAATATGTATAGAGTGCTTACCACAGTGTCTGGCCCACAGCAAGCTTTTAATTGATGTTAATTATATTTTCTTTAATGAAATTAAGCCCTTATAGTTCTCTATTCACACCAACATTTAGGAACCATGGTGCTAGAGGATATCTTTATTTTTTTTAAAGATTTTATTTATTTATTTGAGAGAGAGAGAGAATGAGAGAGAAAGCACATGAGATGGGGGGAGGGTCAGAGGGAGAAGCAGACTCCCTGCCGAGCAGGGAGCCCGATGCAGGACTCGATCCAGGCACTTCAGGATCATGACCTGAGCCGAAGGCAGTCGCTTAACCAACTGAGCCACCCAGGTGCCCAGAGGATATCTTTATTCCCTAAAACTGACTGAGTGCTGGTGAATTACTTTGCTCTTTAGATGATTTGATCAGGAACCTTGTAAATCC